AGAAACACTAGAAACATCTCAAGAAAACACCTGCATCCTCTCTGCAGAAAGCATGCATGAAGGAAATCATGCAGTAATGCAGGAAATGTTTACAATTTAGCATGCAAGGAAAATCTAGACATGATGGCACTTGCGCTAGTATTACCGTATCTAAAAAAGGATGCCAAGGGCCGAAGGAAACAGGAAAAGCTGACAACAGCTGGCAGGAATTGTCTGGACAGTAAGATTGCACTTATTCCTTATGCAACATCCTTTTCCCAATTATTTACATCTCAGGAGAAAGGGGGAAGGATTAAGGCTGCTATGAAACATTAGCCAACTAAACATAACACCCAATGCCCTAATCTTAGGGCAGCTTTTAAGTGAAAATCCAAGTTAATTAAAGCCCTTAAAGTGACATGAACTCTCATGGAGTGGACACTGTGAAAGATGTCAACCAGAATCTCTTTTGATGTTTCACTTTATTAGGAAGTTGGGAAAGAAATATCTATTAAATGATACAAGGTGGTAGAGATGTTGCTTCAGGGGAGTGACTCTAAGTGTGGGCCTTGTACGGCACATACCCTGGACACTGTTCTGGCCAAGTAGTACTGCCATGTAAGAAGCAGTCTAGCCGGGCGGTGGTGGCGCACGCCTTTAATCCCAGCACTCAGGAGGCAGAGCCAGGCGGATCTCTGTGAGTTCGAGGCCAGCCTGGGCTACCAAGTGAGTTCCAGGAAAGGCGCAAAGCTAGAAGCAGTCTAGTTCAAGAAAAACCAGAAATCCAGACAGATTGTGAAATCGCCTCATTTTTAAGTGTGGCAATAAGAATTTTTTTTAAAAGATCCTAAGGACAAACAAAATATCTGTGGACTGGATATATCTGTGGGTTGGCAAAAGAATACTCGATAAATGCTCTAGGCCAGGGGGTATGCTGACCTTTGGAGTCAAGTGGCCCTAAAGAAGATTACATCTAAGGATGTTGGATGAGGAGGCTGAGAGAAATCCTGACCAATTTTCACGCTGCCTGGGAAGATAACTAAATGTTTATAACTTAACTGAGCTTCCCTCAGTCCCATCAGCTTGCTCTTGACTCATCTGTAAACGGTCATTTGAGGCTCTGTGGAAAAGTAGTCCTTACACAGGAGAATGATCAACCCTGCTTTCTCTTTCCTCCAGCTAGCAGCTCAAACACAGCATACACATCACCAGCTAAAGGAAGCTACCAGGAATTCCCTCAGGCTTGTTTTAGAAGTAGAAACTCCTGGTGACCACACAGCTGGGTATGGCTCTCACTGTGGTTACTGGTGTGGTAAGTCAAAGACACCAGTCCTGTCTACTGCCTACCTCACTGCCCTACTGTGGTTTTGGAAGAACTAACAAGTCTAAGTCAGAGCCTCTAAAAAACCCCATGTCGCCCATGTTGTCCTTGCGCCGATTCAAAAGCCCTTTCTACTACAATTTTCCCTGACCCACTGTGCAGAAACAGCTGTTACCTGGCCACAAAACTGGCAGTCTTGTCAACGATATTCCTGACCTCCGGAGGAGGGTAAATAATCCCTACCACTGGCTTGGAAGGTGTGGATTCCTCCTTTGACGATGCTTCTTCTTCAACTGGCTGTGAAAACAGAAAAAGGGAGATCTTCAAGCTCTGGGTTTGGGTTAGGCTATCATAAACCAGCTCCCAGCATTTCTCCATGATACAGGTGAAAACAATCTTTGTCCTGCAGGCTCCTTATGTGTACTTATGCAGCCATTCCTAATAATCGGGAAAAGAATGGCTTCCTTGGCTCCCCTTTAGACAGACAGACCGGTGTGATCAGATTCACTTTTTTTGTTTGTTTATTTGCTGAAGAGTTAGGGATCAAACTCAGCTTTACACATGCAAAACAAGGTACTAAACTATATCCCTAGCCTCCAAATCTGCATTTTTTTTACCTAATGTCCATGTGATTCAGACTCAGGGATGTTGACCACAATCTAAGAAACCAAATTTCAGAATTCAAAAGGCCATGTCTTTAGCCTTAAACCTAGTATTGTGTCTTGCATAGGATACTTAGTGGCTGCCTGCCAGAGTAGCTCAGTGGTTTAATGTGTTTACCCTGCATGAGGTCTTAGGTTCTATACTCAACATAAATAGAAATAAAGGCAGAGGAAAGAAAAGAAGAAAAAAGGCTGGCTGATAGTTCATTCTGTCTTGACTGTCCATTTTTCCATACATCCATTCCATCAACCTAGCCACTGTTAAAGGCATATATGTTTGGGGAGCTTCAGTGGAATCTGACCCCAATGGTTCTTTAACACTTTATCCAGCAGCTTCTTCCTCTCAGTTAAGAACTGGGCTCTCATCTTAGAAAAATAACACTTCTCTCCGCCTTCAGTTCCTTTGGGCTGTTGCCTTCCCTTATTTTTCCTCTGGCAGCTGAACATCCATCGCATCTCCTATTTGGTTCTCATTTACTTCAAGTTTTGTTTTGTTTTGAGACAGGGTTTCTCTGGAAACCTGACTATCCTGGAACTCACTTTGTAGACCAGGCTGGCCTCAAACTCACAGAGATCCTTCTGCCTCTGCTTCCGGAGTGCTCATTTAAAATATTCTTGGCTAAGTAAAAAATAAAAATAACTGCCTAAAGTCAACTACAGCTACAGGAGCCTCTATGTCTTCTGACACCTGCATTTTACCTCCTACTCTATACCACTGGGATCTAAACCAGCAGTTCTCAGCCTGCGATTTGACTCCTTCGGGGGTCGAACAACCCTTTCTTTCACAGGGGTCGCCTAAAACCATCCTACATATCAGATATTTACGATTAACAACAGTAGCAAAATTACAGTTATGAAGTAGCAATGAAAATGACTTTATGGTTTGGGGTCACAACATGAAGACCTGTATTAAAGGTCACACACAGCATTAGGAAGGTCAAGAGTCACTGCTCTAAACATGGTTTATAATTTCTTCTCAGTATTCACACTGTCTTCAGCCAGACATTCTTGAAAACTATGATCTACACCTCCTTTCCCTACTTTAGGCTGAAAAATCCTGCCTAAATCAATCTCCCAGGAAACTCTTGAATGGCACCAAGCTTTGGACCCAACAGACTCCAGGACACTTTCATCTCTAACCTATGATGGTTTTCCAGTCACATAAGCCAGAAATCCAGGCCTCCTCAGTCTCTTTAATAACGTTCATCAAACACAAAATACACCCCGGGGAACTTGAACTGTATTAACTCTTAGAATCCTGATGACAGCCTTGAGGAAGTGTTCTTATTCTCATATTACAGACAACAGGGGATAACAAACGTGTGCCTGCCCCACAGACAGAATCAGGATTCCAGCACATCACTTAGGCTGGAGCGCCTGTGCAGAGTCATCTGTGACAAACACTTGCCCATCCCTCTTGCCCTAATCTAGACAGACACTCTCGGTGTCTTTTGAATACCTTAACTGTTTCTCTACCCCCTCTTTACATCACTGTAATCCTAAATTTTTGAAACACAAATGTCACTATCCAGCTTAAAATGCCTCCCACTGTCTTCAAGGACATATTCAAATCCTAACTGCACCTCCTACCACCGTTATCCCAAATTTGCATTTGAGCCACACTTGCTCATGTACCTTTGACAAAAGAGGAACCCTGTGACTCCTACCTTGGTGGTTTTGTGACCATTATTTGGTATCACCTTGTCTGTTTTCCCCCAGTGTCAAGGAAAATACACAGGCAGACAAACACATAAATGTTGGGAGAAAGGACATGGGCCTCATCTGTCACGTTTGGGATTGTATTCTGAACCAAAAGCAACAATAAGCATATATAGTATGTGCCTGACAAATGCATGCTGAATAATTTCCTTTCCCCCATCACGCTTCATGGTTATCCATTAAAATAGCCACTCACCTCGCACTCCCGCGGACTTCCCTCACACTTATTTCCCCTCTACTCCCGCAAACAATGCTGACTAAATTCATGGTTTGTTTGTATTCAACTTAACTGCAATTATTTTCCTGCATGCTTCCTCCTCAGCTGTTTGTGAGCTTTTGGGTCTCACCCTGTAGTCCAAGCTAACCTGCAATTCATGATCCTCCTGCCTCAAACTTACAAATGCTGGGATTACTGATGTTCGTCATGTGCCCAGCCTTGAAAGCTTTTAAAGGTTGCCTGACACTTTATCATTTACACCGACACAGACAATAAACATTGAGTATTTGTGCATGTCTATACTTTCACTTGTCTGGGCTCTCTCTTAAGGCATACCTCATCCATTCTGTAATAATGAAGACTGGCACCTTTTCTGGTTTAGGGAAAGCACCTCGTAGGTGTTTAAAAAAAAAACAAAGACATAGGGCAGGCTGGGAAATTAGAGATTACTGGACAAAGGCTGAGCGACTGGTAGGCCCAACTGCGATGGTGAACAGGCTGGCAGAATGCTTCTCACGCTTTAACGAAACACCTTGGGATCTGGTCAAAACAAGATTTAGAATGGAGGTTTCAGGATTCTACTAAGACCCCAGGTGGGGCTGAGGCTACTAGTCCACAGGCTACTTTGAGAATTCCGGTTCTAGGGAGCTTTGGGGACCAGAAGGCAACGCAGCGCGCTGACTCCTGGGACTTGCAGTCCCTCCAAGTCCTTCAGGGCAGCCTGAGCTTCCAGCAGGAGTGCCGTAGCGCCCGCGCGGGAGGGGAGGGACGAGGCCTACCCCAGGACTGCAGGCTGAGGAGCACGGGGCGCGGTACCTGTTTGGGCTCAGTGGCTACTGGCGGCGGCGGAGGCACCGCCTGCACGGGTCCGGCCGGCATGACTGCGACGCTCAGGGCTGCCAGTCCGCCTCAGGGCGACAACCGGTACGGCGGCAAGGTTAAGCTCCACACACGAAGGCTACAACGCAATGGCAAGATGGCGGCGACCCAGAGAAAAGCCGCGGAAGACAGTGAACACGCTTCCGGCCCCGCCCCCTGGCCATGGCGCACTTCCCCCCCCGCCCCGAGGGCAGGGCGGCGCGCTATGCCGTTGCCATGGCAGCGGCCTGGGCGCGCAGCTGAGGATTTCAAGGGATCCTAAGGAGCCGCAGGCGCTCTGGGCGAAGTTTTGTGAGCCGGCCAGACACAGAGCTGAGGCTGCGACGCCGGAGACAGGTGAGCCACTCTACATCATCCGCTGAACTCCCCTCGCGGCCCTGGCCGGTTTCTCGCCCCCTGCGACTGCACCTTCCAGGCCCCCCATTCCAGTCTTCCTTCCTGCTTGGCCTGTCATTTTGAAGTATTTTCCTCCCATTAGACCTGTTGCGGTAGAGTCCCACCTAACTACACCCTTAGCCCCTTTTTTCCTGTTCAGCACCACCTCTTCCGGATCCCGTTTTACAGTGCCCAAGCCCGCAATTCCCTAGGGTCTCTTCCCACTGGCCTCTTTTGTAAGTTGCACCTTTAACTTCCATAGCCCCGCCCTCAAGCCCGACCTCCTCCAATCATAGCTGTTTTCCAAACTCCCACCTGTGCGGCCCTGCAGACCACGCCTCTCCCGGAGACACGCCTCCAATCACCGGCCTTTCTCTCTTGAGATCCTTTAGGTCCCGGTTCCCTCTCCTCTCCCAACTCCGGAATGCCGAAAGGGTTCTGAGCTCATCTTGACTCGCTTCACCTGTGAAATGGGGCAGCAACAAAACTCCCAAGGTCCCTTTCCATCCACACTGTAGCTGGTTATTTCATTGTTATTAATGTAGAATAGGGACAGTTAGGATCAGTTGGACATTTATTTACTGCAAGCTAGATCCTGTGTCAAACACTACAGGTATTTGCATCATTTCCTCCTTATAGCAAGCTATTTGGTGGTGAAGACCATGAAATAAGAATTCATACTCACGGGGGGGGGGGGGGAGTTCCGTATATGAGGGGGAAAAAGAATCCATAGTCTTTTTTTCTCTACTAATCTGATGTTTATTGCTGTGTCTTCACTGTGTCACTTTCATGTCCCAAGGGGTCCAGGCAATAGCTAACTCGGGTCAGAGATTGGCAATTGCCATGTAGGTGCTTTTAGAGTTTCAAAACTACTTTCTCAGTGGTGACTGACCCTCAGTCTGGGAAATAAGCATGTCTTAAACCATGGTGTTAGTTGTTTGAGAGAGGGAGGATTGAGGGTTGAAATGGAGAGAAAGGCTCCTGTCCTTCCTAATGACAATGTTGTTTCCCTTAGAGCCATCACCTGTGTGGTCTGCTTCAGGTTCACTCAAGAACTAGAAATTACGGAGACAGTCCATGTCATGTGCTCTTCCATGCCACAAACACCACCCTATGAATCTGCATGAGCACCCTTTTAAAAAAAAAATTATTATGTATACAGTATTCTGCATGCATGCATGCCTGCAGGCCAGAAGAGGGCGCCGGATCTCATTATAGATGTTTGTGAGCCACGATGTGGTTGCTAGGAATTGAACTCAGGACTTCAGGAAGAGCAGCCGGTGCTCTTAACTGCTGAGCCATCTCTCTGGCCTCCCATGAGCTCTATTTTTAAAAGAATCAGTAGAAAGTAACTTTGGATATCCTGTGTGTATACATGTTTGTGGTGCTGACGATTGACCCAGGGCTTCATACATGTTAAGCAAGTGCCATACTACCAAGCTATAGTGTCTGCTTAACTTGGAATATTCTTGGTGTTTTGACGCAGAATCTCATGGGAATTGGTATCCAAGATGGCCCCAGTAACAGATCCATATTTTTTAAATTTTATTTTTTATTTTATTTTTTTTTTTGAGCTCAGGTGCTTTGCCTCCTGACTGTGCTTCTCCCCAAAAGGGACTTCTTGCTTGCTTTATTTCTTTCGTGTCCTTTCCAGGAAAGAAAGCCAGAATGTTTCATGTTGTTTTCCTTCCTGTCTGCACTTCACTCCTTAGGGACATAAAATCTCTTGGGCTGCACTGTCTCACCAGAGGCGGTTGCCAAGTCAACACATAGGAGATATGAGTCAAATGTATCTGTTTGTATATGAGTATTATGGGCAGCACTCCTTGCAGGAAAACTCAGATATGGTTAGTGGTTCCTGAAGGATCTCTCTCCCTTCCTCCCAAGTTTCACTTCATAGCCCAGGCTGGCCTTGAACTTGCATTCCTCCTGTCTTAGACTCCTAAGTGCTAGGGTTACAGGCCTGTGTCACCATGCCCTGCCTCACTCTAGCAGGTAGTAGATGTTCAGTCCCATTGTTGAACACATAGCATTCGACCCTCTACACCTGTACTGCACAGCACAGTAACCACTAGCCCCGTGTGGCTTTCAAGTATTTGAATAGGGCCAAGTGTAGTGGGGCCACCTTTGATCCCACTTGAGAGGCAAAGGCAGGTAGATCTCTGTGAGTTTGAGGCCAGCCTGGTCTACATAGTGAGTTCCAGGATAGCTAGGGCTATGTAGAGAGACACTGTCTCAAAAAACAAACAAACAAAATTAATGTTTTTCAAATTCTTTGGTACAAATTGAGGGTGTACCATAAGGGTCAAATAAGCACTGGACTTTGTGGCTAAATAAATTTTTAAGAAAGTTTAAGGGCTTGGGGGTATATAGCTGAATTGGTACAGTGTTTACCTAGCATGTATAAAACCCTGAGTTCAATCCCCACCACCACTTGTAGGGTATAGTGGTGAACACCTGTAATTACAGCACTTGGGAAGTAGAAGCATGAGGATCAGAGTTTGAAGGTCAGCCTCCTCAAAGTCAAGGCCAGCAGGGATATACAGACTGTCTTTTTTTCTTTCCTTCTTCCCTTCTTTTTTCTGTTTTTGTTTTGGTATTTCAAGACAGAGTTTCTCTAGCCCTGGCTGTCCTGCAACTCACTTTGTAGACCAGGCTGACCTTGAAGTCACAGAGATCTGTCTGTCTCTGCCTCCCCAGTGCTGGGATTAAAGGCGTGGGCCACAAGACAGCACAAGCTTGTCTTTTAAAAAAATTAATAGCCAGGCTGTAGAGATGACTCCGAGATTAAGACCATGTATTGCTCTTCCCGGAGACCCAGTTCGATTCCAGCACTCATGTCAGATGGCTGAGCTCCTGTACTGTCAGCTCCCTGGGACCCAACACCAGTAGACTCCATAGGCACCCACAAACATCACACAGACACACTTACACTTAAAAATGAACAAATTACAAATAAGTAAATAGTCAAATATGAATACACACATCTTTAGTCCCAGCACTCGGGGGGAGGTGGGGGAGAAGCAGGCAGAGCTCTGTGAGTTGGAGGTCAGTCCGGTCTGTGTAATGAGCTTCAGGACAACCAGGGCTACATAGTGAGAGCCTGCCTCAAAAAATTAAAAAATAGACAAAAATCTCAATTTCATATTGAGTTTTTGTTGAAATAATGCTTTGAGTATATTAGGCTAAATAAATTAAATTTTCTTTCTTCACTCTTTTTTAAAAAGATTTATTTATATTTTATGTATATGGGTGTTTTGCCTGCAGGCATGTCCCAGGACTACAAGTGTTCAGTGCCCGCAGAGACAAAAGAGGGCATCACATCCTCTGGAACTGGAGTTACAGATAGACATCTGTGGGTGCTGAGAACCGAACCTGAGTATTCTGCAAGAGGGCCATCTCTCCAGCTTTCTTTTTACTCCTTTTGAGGTTTAAGAGAGGGAAAGTAGCAGTAGCTCACGCCTTTAATCCCAGCATTAGGGAGGCAGAGCCAGGCAGATCTCTATGAGTTTGAGGCCAACCTGGCTACAGAGTGAGTTCCAGGACAGGCACCAAAACTACGCAGAGAAACCCTGTCTTGAAAAACAAACAAACAAACCAAAAAAAGAGAGAGAAAGTAATATTTTAACTTACTCATCACAAGGTTCATAACTCAGATCCCTAAAACTAGAAAGACAGATGTTTAAAAAAGGAAGGAAAAAAAGTGTAGATGGAAGTTTCTTGTCCCTACCACCTATTCCCAAATAACCACTCTGAGGCTTATATTAATTGTAAATGCTTGACCAATAGCTCAGGCTTGTTATTAGCTAACTCGTACATTTAAATTAACTCATATTTCTATTGTTGCTTTACCACGTGGCTATACCTTTATTAGCATGGCACATTCATCCCCTGCCCCTCTGCATCTGGCTGGTGACTCCTCACTCTGCCCTTCTCTTTCCTATCATCCTTAGTTTGGTCACCCCCTCTGCCCTTCTCTTTCCTATCATCCTTAGTTTGGTCACCCCGCCTATACTTCCTGCCTAGCTACTAGCCAATTAGCATTTTATTAAACCAATTTGAGTGACAAATCTTTACAGTGTAAAGGATTATTCCACAGCAAACAAGCAAGCAAGCAAGAAAGAAAGAAAGAAAGAAAGAAAGAAAGAAAGAAAGAAAGGAAGGAAGGAAGAAAAGAAAAGAAGAGAAAAGCAGAGCCACATATACACACCTTTAATCCTAGCACTTGGGAGGCAGAGGCAGGTGGATTTCTGAGTTGGAGGCCAGCCTGGTCTGTATGGCAAGCTCCAAACCAGCTAAGGTTACATAGTGAAACCCTATTAAAAAAAAGAGAGAGAGAAAGGCATAAAAATGTATTTAATAGAAGTTTTTCTATGAGAGCTGAAAGATGACTCAGAGGTTAAGAGTACTGGCTACTCTTGCAAAGGACTAGGTTTAGTTTCTGGCACCCTCATATGGCTTACAACTACTGATAGCTCTAGTTCTAGAGTATCTGATGTCCTTTTCTAACCTCAGAAGGCACCAGGTAGGTACATGTTGCACTTGTATACCTGCAGGCAAAGCATTCATAAACATAAAATATGATAAATAACTAAAATTTTTAAATGCTTTGTCTTAGTTACTGTTTTATTGGTGGGAAGAAACACCATGACCAAGGTAGCTTATAGAAAGATGCATTTAGCCAGGCGGTAGTGGCGCATCCCTTTAATCCTAGCACTCGGGAGGCAGAGGCAAGGGGATCTCTGTGAGTTCGAGGCCAGCCTCGTCTACAGAGCAGGATCCAGAACAGGCACCAAAACTACATGGAGAAATCCTATCTCTAAACCCCGCCCCCCAAAAGAAAAGAAAGATGCATTTAGTTGAAGACTTGCTTACAGCTTCAGAGGTTGAATCCATGATCATTCTGATGGGAATCATGGTGGAGGCAGGCAGCATGATGCTGGAGCAGTAGCTGAGAATTCATATCTGATCCGAAAGATGCATGCAGAGGGAGATCCAGGCTAGGCCTTTTGAAACCTAAAAGCTCATCCCCAGTGACACACCTCCTCCAACAAGGCCACACTTCCTTAATCCTTCCCAAACAGTTACATTAACTGGGACCCAAACATTCAAGCATATGAGCCTATGGAGACCATTCTCATTCAAGCCACCACGTTCTTTAAAATAAATAAATAATAAGCAAATAACTCTCCATGTTTTGGAGCTTTCAGAAACAAAGACCCAAAAAACAACAGGACATCTTTGTATTTTTATGGACAGTCATGCAAAAAAAATAATTGGAGGATAAAAGTCTATGCTCTAACAGTAATAAAGAGGGGACACATAGGACATCTTTTCTTGTTGCTTAAAGGGGGAGTCATTTTGACTCTCTGGTTCAGAGACCAGGAACATGTGGAGGAGGAGGCTCTTCACCTCTTGGCAGACAGGAAGCAGAGAGGGAAAACCGAGGAAGGGCCAGGGCAAGGCATAGCCCCCAGGGACACACTTTCAATGGCCTTCTTCTTCCAACCAGGCCCCACCTTCAACTTTCTACTACCTCTCAGTAATGCCATTGTATTATATATCTAGGAGAGGATGAACCCATTGACTACATCAGAACCTTCCAGGTCCAGTCACCTCTCTGCAGCTCACCAGTGGGCAACCAAGCAACCAATACACACGCCCGTGGGAGACAATTCACACTCAAACCAAAAGAGACTGTTCAATTTTTTTTTCTTTTTAAAAAATTGCACTTGTAGCTGGCGGTGGTGGCACATGTGGTGTTGCACTCCTTTAATCCCAGCACTCAGGAGGAAGAGACAAGTGGATCTCTGTGAGTTCAAGGCCAGCCTGGGCTACAGAGTGAGTTCCAGGACAGCCAGGACTGCTTCACAGAGAAACCCTGTCTCGGAAAAAAAAAAAAAACAAAAACAAAAAAAGTACTTGTTTGCTATTATAATGTGTGCTGATGTGTGCAAACACACATGCATGTGTCACAGTGCATGTGTGGATGGAGGTCAGAGGACAGCTTTTGTGAACTGATGTTCTCCTTGTACCATATGAGTTCTAAGGCTGGAACTCAGGTTGTCATCCTGGTGTGGCAAATGTTTTACCTGCTGAGCCATCTCGCTGACTCCAGATCTTTCTTTTCATTCTCCTGTGATATCCTTACCAACGAGATTTTCTACAGGATGCCTAGCATATGAGGTCTTCAGTGAAGAAGGGAGGGGAGTCAGTGTCCCTGAGTTTTGCAACCTTTCCAGGGAAGGGCGAGGGGAAAGGAAAGTGAGCTCTGAGCTTCTGCTGTTCTCTCCGTTTCCAAGCCCCCATTCCTTGCGTTACACTTCTTTTGGACATGGCTGGTCTAGAAGCAGCACGGCCTAAGGATGGAAGAAAGAGAGGAGACTAAGAACTCCCGCTGCCTGAGTGATTTCTCTGGGTTCCGGTTATATATAAAGGGGACAGATTTGGGGGAGTGGCACTCCTGTGGTCAGGCTGAAGGCATGGATACTCCCCGTGTATACTTTTTCCTCATCCCCTTCCGACAGCCTGGGACATGTCTTCTTGTAGGCAGCTCCCACCCAGTCTCCTAGGAAGCCGTCCTGTGGGCTCACTCACTCTGTCGTGTATCCATTCCTAGGGATGGGAGGGCCGCTTGCGGCCAGCCCTATACCTGAACCACGAAGCCCAGAGCCAGAAAGCCAGGCACCGGCACGAGCCCCAGACCTCAGAGCTGAGTCCAAGAGGTGGACATAGTCGGTCACTCCAGCTTCATGGGCAGACATCTGTGAGAGGTAAGGGCAGAACTAGTCCTTTGGGAAACCCAGAGTCCACTCCAGACCCCAGCATCACCTTGGGTGCCTCTGAGTTTCCCAGCACTTTGGGCCCAGGTCTCAGACTTGGTGACCAGGTCATACAGTAATGAGCTCAAAGGGCACAGTCCACATGTTTACAGGGGTGCGGTGATGGTAGGGGTGGGGGTGGAGCCTAGCATTCCCTGTCATGCTGAAGCTATGATGTGTTTTGGCTGTGTCAGAGGGAAAGGTAGATAGAGTGTCTAGCATGACTCCAGACTTGGACCTGCCTGGGAGTAGAGACACAGTGTGACGAAAAGACAGGCACACAGAAAAGCTGGGCTTAGGATGGAGAAACCACCGTATCCCAGGAGCTCAGCATGTTTATAGAGTTGGACAGGGAAGCAAGGTTATTGCATGCAGCTGAACAAGGAGGCAGGGTTAGTATAGATACACAAGGAGGCGGGGCTTATGGTATATAGGTGGATCAAGGAGACAGGTTTAGTGCTATGGGACGTTCTGTATGCTGTGAATGTGTTGCTCTGATTGGTTGATAAATAAAAAGTTGATTGGCCAGTAGCTAGGCAGGAAGTATAGGCTGGCTAAACAGACAAGGAGAATTCTGGGAAGTGGAAGGTTGAGTCAGAAGACGCCAGCGCGCCATCCAGGGAGCGGCATGTAATGACACACAGGTTAAGCCACGGAAAATGTGGTGACATATAGATTAACAGAAATGGGCTGAGTTTAAGTGTAAGAGCTAGTCAGTGGTTAGCCTGAGCTAATAATGGTCGAGCAGTTTTAAATAATATTAAGCCTCTCTGTTCATTTGGGTCTGAGCGGCTGTGGGACTGTGGGACCACAGGACCTGGCAAGACACAGGAGAAAAACTTCAACTACAGTTTAGCTAATCTTGGTAGGCACAGTCTCATTAGGGAGGCAATACTCAGTCTGTAAACATCCAGGGGGAGAAAGCTATGGTGGGTATAGTCTGAATATACTGTCAACACTCACACTCAGTACCCCAAGGAAGGCTTTGCCATTTCCCTCTGGGCTGAGGCTCTGGAGTCCTTGATATTACTGTGCCCATATCAATAGCATCCATTCATTTAGGACTCCACTTATTTGTGGCTTCCTCAGTTCCCTACAGGTAGAAGACTCATTCCTGTCTCCATATAGCTAGGGGGCCTAGGGCACACAGGTTCTCTGGAGGCAGGGTGGCCACAGGGCTGGGTAGGTGAAAGGGAGGCTGGACAAGACATCCAGAACCAGGTTCTAAAAGGCCTGTCGCTCAGGATTTCTCCCTAAAATCAGAGGTGGATTTGGGATGTGGAATACCGAGACAGGTCAGGGGGCTTATAAGGTTCTCCGGGCAATAGCCACATCACTTTGGCTGACCATGGTTCCTCACTCAGCCCCAGGAGCTGTGGGGATGGCACACCTGCTAGGCAGCCAGGCCTGCATGGACAGCCTGCGCAAGGACCTCACCGACCTGCAGGGCACCATTGTGGAAGTGTTCTCCCGTGCTGGGCCTGTGCGCTTCCCATCCTGGAAGTTCCCTGACCGTTTGGCCTGTGATCTTGATATGGTGGCCCTCCTGGAGCACTACGACCATGTGCCAGGTGACCCTGAGTTCACACAGTTGTCCCATGCTGTGCTGCTGGAGCTCGTCATTGACAGGTAAGGCCTGGGCCAAACCCACCCCTTGTACCAGTAGCAGCTGCAGTAGGAGCCCTTTCTAGAGATGCTGACAACATGGATAACAACGGTCAACCATGGACTGACTATACAGGTCTGGGGCCACAACTCAGGGCCCTCAGAGTAACCCCACTTTGTATTGTGTGCTGTACTATGCTGCCCTAGCCCGTCTACCTCAGGGAGTTCTTGTCCTTACCCCACTCTGCCCTGTGCTGTTGTCCCCACAATACCACAGCTCTGCCTGCTATCACCTGAGGTCTCTGTGTGTCAGGAACACTACAGCTGCTGCTTAGCATTCTCATCCCAGGCTCTGGCATTCTGTGGGCTATGTTCCCTCTGTGCCTCACAAGGCAGGAAACAGGGCGGAGGATGTTTTTCCCACCCCTGGCCCTGCTAGGAAGAGCCCAGTTGCTCCCCTGTCGCCCCACCATCTCTACATTTTCATGAAAGTTTCCTCCTGGGAACCACAACCCAGGCTTCTGGCACTCAAAAACTGTCAGGGACCAATGGGCATCAGAAACGTTGAGGACTGACCTGCCTGGAGATAGAAAAGGCAGAGTACTCCTGTAAGGCTTGGAAGAGTCTTGAGTATGAAAGCAGTGTTTGCATCCTCTGAAGGGCTGGATGGGTGTGAGTACAGAACACTTCCTCTCCCAGAGCAGGCATCTAGGCCTGCCCTGCTAAGCCCTTCCTGCTCTAACAGAGCACCCCTTCACCCACCAAGGCCCCAATCACTCACCTCTTTCCTGTAAAGCTGTTGCTGACATACCTCCCCCACCCTCCCTGGCTGAGTATTGTCTACTTCTGAGTTAGTACTAGCTTCCTTTGTGTACAGCTGACTCCTGTGTATAAAAGTAACTCCTGCGAGCGGCCACTGAATCTAAGCTTAGCCTGGGAACCCTAGCGGGAAGGCCAGGGCCTCTAGCCCACAGTGTGACATTTTGGAGGCTCAGGACATCAGTGGTAGGAGCGTGACTAAGGCTACATGTGTCATAGCATCCCCACCACAGGCGGCTGTCTGAGAACACAGACTGCCCCGCTGAACCCCCTGCTGTGTCCTGATTTTTTCCCCAGTGTCACTGTCTGTCTGGCCCAGAGGGTCATGCAGTGGGTACCTCCTCCTCAAGGCCTCTGGGCCTCCTGCCACCCCCTACCTCCTGCAACAAGAAAAGCTCCCTTGCCTTCCATGCATGTGTTGCAAACATGCAAGACTTACCTGTAAGGTAAGTCTTGGCCATGCCAAGGCACACTTCCCAGCATCCCCTTCCCCTAACATTCGTTTGACTCTGAACTTGAACTTGGAGGTTGACATAAAGAGACCTAGCTGTCTGTACCCCAAGTCCCAACTGTCACAGAGGCTGCTCAGCCTGAAGGACACCCTCCCCCCACCCCCGACTGGAACCAGGAAAACGTGCACATGCCCTTGCCCTGCCCTACTTACCCTGTGACTTTGGGCTCCTCTTATTAAAGTAAGGTGCTACTCCCCCAGAACTTTCTGAGCCAGGCTGCCTTTCCTCAGCTTCTTGGTCAAGTAGGGAACCCCGAAGCAGAAAGTACTTCCAACTAGGAAGAGGGCAGCCAATAGGAGGTGGCCCCTGGTTTGAGCATGAAGCTGACACAGACTCTCTCTAGGCCCTCAGTGTCCAGGTCAGTCCCCCAGAGCTCAAAGCTCCCAGTTGTATGAAGACTGTGTTAGCACCAGTGGTGGCCCCAGCCCACCTCGGAACTCTGCCCACAGGCTCCTGCTGCTGCTTCAGAGCTGTGCCAGCTACCTGGAAAACCTCAGTTTGGAGCAGATGATGCCTCCTACCCGAGCTGCAGGGCCATGCATGTCTGTGGGACTCACAGTACGCCGCTTCTGGAGCAACCTGCTGAGGCTGGGCATGCTCTACCAGCAGGCAGTCCCCCAGGTGGGTCATCTTGGCCCCTAACTACGGTCACCCTCACATACTGTTACAATTCTAGCTTCTTACCACCACTGCACGCACTGTATCCTTCGCTGGCTCTCCACTGCCCAGCTGGAGCATTCAAATTCCCCTTCAAGTCCCATGGGCTTAGCAGTTAAGAAAGCAGGCCTTGGGGGTCAAGTCTGGCTCCCTGGCCTTGCTATTTACACAATGGGACTTTGGGAAATGCCTTCTCACTCTGAATGTTTGTTCATCTATACAACGGGTTTTATATGAACCCCGTTTAATAACAGGTTATCCCATAATCCTCACAGTCAGCCAGTTAGAAAGGACACCATCACTGTGAGGGAGAGGAGTCTAAACCAGAGTGGTTGTAGTGCCATGAGCACAATCAAGAACGCAGTAAGAATTAGCTGTAACTGCCACCATTACCCTCCCAGTTCCAGGCACTTTAACCATGTATAAAGCCTGGGGTCGGAGCAGGGAGAGCAGACAGGAGGCCAGGGCTGGGTTGAGTCAGGGAGAAAGGGAGAAGGTTCTCTGTGATTTGTGTGGGTGTCACATAACATCTGAAGGTCTGAGCATTGGGCAAGGCTGTCACCAACATCTCCGGGGAACTGCTTACCTCCCGTGCCTATCTCTCTCATCTGCCTTCCCTTTCTTTTCCTGACCCCAGAAAAGAGCAAACCAAGGGGAGATTCCCATCGCCAAGCCCACGGCCAAGGGTGAACCAGCCAGGAGCCCCGAAGGCATGACTGCCAAGTTCATCAAGCCTCCTTCCCCAGTGGCAGGCCTGCCCATGATCTGCCAAGGGCTACAGAGCATCCCTGTCAGAGTCTCCCTGCGGGGCCCAGCGGGGACCTCTGAGAAAACCAAGAGTGTCCACTCTCAGACCATCGAGACAGCCTTGGTGCCCTGTGATGCTTGCACCAGTGTCCAGGGCAGCTTGTGGGAGGTGGGCAAGGTGGTCATCAGCCTGTGTCAGAGCCAAAACTTGCCTTCGTCCCTGGGCCAGTTTCAGAAGCTGGTGCAGGACAGCATGGGGCTCAAACCACTGCCGGCTGCCACCGTGGGCCACTGGGCAGCAGAGCAGAGCAAAGATCTGACTCGGCTCAATAAGCATGTGGGGGCCCTCACCCAACTTGTCGGGCCCCTCAGGACCCAGCTGGAAGAGGCCGAGGGGCAGAAGGATGGACTAAGGAAGCAGGTGGGCAAGCTGGAGCAGGCTCTGCAGCAGGAGAAAGGGGAGCGGCAGCGGCAGACAGAGGAGGCTGCGCGGAGCCTGGCCAAGTGCGAGCAGGACAGGCAACGGCTGCTCACAGGTCTACTCCCCAGAGGCCAGACACTGCCATAACCTCAGGACAGTCGTCCCTCCTCCCCAGAGACCAGGCTTTGAGTCCTAATGGTCTACATGGAAGAAACCCTGGTTGGGGAGCGGGCAAGAGTTCCAGGAAAGGAAGGCAGCAAGAAGGGTGGAGACATCCAGCTGGCAACTCTGTGAGCAGCTGGAGCTGTCTCCTTAGGGAGTACTGGAGGTCTGAGTAGCACCTGAGCCTCAGACTTGTCCATCAGAAGGGGAGAGGGCTGGGGTGTTAACCCAACATTCTCTCCTGGTGGTCACTAAAGGTACCTGCAGGGAGCCCCCTTAGCCCCAGCACCTCTTGGCTTTAGGCTCTTGGGCAAAAGGAAGGTACCGTTGCCCACTGTTACCAGCCGAGGGCTTAGGGCAAGTAGTCAATGTCCTTTCTGAGCCTCTCCATTGCCTCCATGTAGATCACTGGGTCCAGAGAGGCATAGGTAATCCAGCAGCCAGCCAGTGGAGCACACCAGGGCCCAGGCCTCCTAGGATTACCCCAGGCCTCTCTTGGCAACTCAAGCAGCCCCTGCACACTGGATGATTGCCTCCACTCTACAGGGTGCACTGGCCTTAAAGGCCATAGGCCCAAGTGATCCTCTGAAAGGCCTCTCTCTTGGCTGCCGTAGAAACGTGTGACCTAAAGACAAAGGTGGCCATTCTGGAGGGAGACCTGAAGCAGCAGCAGAAGTCCATGCAGGCCATGGGTAAGACGCCCATTTGTGTGACCCCCATCCACATCGCCAACTCACTGTATAGCTGGACATGTGCCTCCGTTTCCATTCCAAGCTTCTAGGGCAGACAGTGGGAACCATAGGAGAATGATTCTGACTCTGTACTGTTGGTGATGGTCCAAGCTGGAGTCTCAACTTCAGTGGGCAGAAAGTGCCTTCTGTAGTCCAGACCCACCTCATGGGGTCCAGAGCCCCATGCTGTGGTCTGGGCTTCAGATCTGTGATGTGATCTCCCCTTAGTCCCAGTCAGAGATTCTCACTCAGAGCTCCCTTTACCCAACCCCTTTTCTACCTGCTCACCCAACCCTGCAGCGGCAAAGACCCAGCAGCTGGAGGAGGAAGGTGAGCGCAGGGCAGCCGCTGAGAGGCAAGTGCAGCAGCTGGAGGAGCAAGTGCAGCTGCTGGCAGGGCGGCTGGATGGAGCTGGCAAGCAGATCCGCTGGGCCAGCACAGAGCTGGACAAGGAGAAGGCCCGAGTCGACAGCATGGTCCGCCATCAGGAGGTGAGGCCTACAATCCAGGCACTGGGCTTCGGGCTCTGCAGCCCTCTTACCCTTATTCCCTGTCACAATAGGAGGAGGTAGATATTCCTGTTGTTCTCCATTTTATGAATGGAGAAACTGAGGCGTGGTGAGGTTAAAGAAGTTGCCCCAAGGCCACACAGCTACCGAGAGGCAGAGCCAAGTCTTTATATTCAATGGGTGCCAGGATATTTGGGTTTCAATGATAGAGGCAAATGTGACACCAGAGACTTGATGAAAAGAAATAAAGCCTGTTTCCCAGAATCCTTTGAGTGGGAGCTGTATGAGTGGGAAGAAGGGGTCATCCAACTGCTTTCGGAACAGTGGGTCCTGGCGGTGTCCCAACTGAATGTCCGTCTGCCTGCTGCCTGTCTTCTGCAGTGAAACATCTGTGTGCACCCAAACAGAGCAGAGGGTCCTAGCCACCACCCCGCAGCCTCCTTAGTCCCAGATGGCTAGTCTGGCTCCAGCATCCTTTCATCGGCCCTGCCTATCCATTCTCATTTAGTCCCTGCAGGCCAAGCAGAGGACTCTGCTCCAGCAGCTGGACAGTCTGGACCAGGAGCGGGAAGAGCTGCGGGGAAGTCTGGATGAGGCTGAGGTCCAGCGGGCTGAGTTGGAGGAGCAGCTGAAGAGCCTCCAGAGCGACAGGGAACAGGAACAGTGCCAGCTACAGGCCCAGCAGGTGCGGTGGGCTAGGGTGTGAGGAGGGCAGTCCTCTTCGCGGACGAGCCTCTAACCTGCCGAGCGTCCCTGGGCCTGTGTGTCCCCAAGGGAGCTTAGAGCCAGGACTAAGCTCGTCTTTGCCCCAGGAGCTGCTGCGGAGCCTGCAGCAGGAGAAACAAGACCTGGAGCAGGTAACTACAGACCTGAAGCTGACCATCTCAGAGCTGCGACGGGAGCTAGAGGAGCTAAAGGAGCGGGAGCGACTGCTGGTGGCCTTCCCAGACCTGCACCAGCCCACGGAGGCCCAGACCCACAGTAGGGGCCTGGGGTACTGCTGAGGGCAGGGTGGGGCCTGGATGGGACCCGGTACTGTTCTCACCCTCAGCAAGAGGAGATCGGGGGGCGGGGAGGGGCAGGAGGGTGAGCTGTGTTCTAGAGCCGCCATGACCCACAAGGGTTTCTTACGTTGTTCACCTCTCTGTGGAGACAACACACAAAAACCCAAAGGCAAAGTGACTGCACCTTTCACCCTAGTACAGCAGTTCTTATCCTTCCTAATGCTGGGACCCTTTAATACAGTTCCTCAGGTTGTGGTGACCCCCAACCATACAGTTATTTTCACTGCTACTTCATTACTAGAATTCAGCTACTGTTATGAAGCATAAGGTGACTATCTGATATGAGGGATATCTGATATGTGACACCTGTGAAAGGGTCACTTGACCCCCAAAGGGGTCACAACCCACAGGTTGAGAACAACTGCCCTAGTTGTCTGACACATCACACGCCAGTCCTTGTTCAACCTCCCCAGGTTTCCTTTCCTGGTGTCGTACAACATGGGGCCATTTTCTAGGCCATTTCTCCTGGCTGTTCAGTGTCTTGGAGCCCATGGGTAGGAGCATAGGGAGCCTCCACTGGCGCAGGACCCTGTCAGGCAGTCTCTGAGGCCCTGGGGTGGATGGCGCCCTCCCCAGAGCTATCCGAGATCCATTGTAGCTCAGCTGCTCATAGTGAGTGGTCACTCCTGAGCACTAAGTGCCACGCCTTCTGCTGCCCACAGCTGCCTCATGAGGCTAACCTGGACTCCTGTTAACAACCAATTTTGGACATTTGTGTGTGTGTGCACCTGCCACGGCACAAGTGTGGTCAGAAAACAATTGTGGAAGTTGGTTCTCTCCTTTTGCCATATGGGTCCAAGGACCAAACTCATGTGGTCAGGCTGGGTTTCAGCATCTTTCCTTCCCTGCTGAGCCATCTCACCAGCCCTACAAACATTTTTTAAATGTTTTTTTGGTGTATGGATGTTTTGCTTACATATATGTTTATGTACTATGTTGGTACCTGGTGCCTGAAGGCCAGAAGACGGGGTAGATCCTCTGGAACCAGAGTTAGGTGGATGTGAGCCGCTATGTGGGTGCTGGGAGTTGAACCCCGGTCCTCTTATTCACTGCACCTTCTCTCCAGCCCAACAACCTTCTTATAAAGCAAGAAACTGAGATCTAGCATGGGCAGGCGGCTTGCTCAGGTGTGTAGGGCTGGGTGTTGTCATCTGTCAACCACACACAGTGTAAGGAAGGACATACATGGTGACTTCCTGTGACGCGAACCCCAGTGTACCTTTGCACAACCTACAGGACCCTCTGACAGGCCAAAGACAGGTGGTCTTCAATAAGATCCGTTCTTTTACTCACTATCCAAACCTGCAGTTGTAGGAATCACCCGGCTCTCCAATTCTAAAATGTAATGTCACCTTCACAGTAGGTGGCTACAGGAAGGGACAAAAGCCTCCAGAGGAAGCTGTGATGGGATGCCTAGGTGCTACCCCTCCCCATCCACTGTCCTGTCCAACTGGACACAAGAGGCAGGCCCAGTGATGTCGCGCCCCAAATGTCTTTGCAGGTTCTAGCAATGTCACCCATGACATGGAGAGGCAGATGCAAGCCAATGATATCCGCATCCAGGTCCTACAGGAAGAGAACAGGCGGTTCCAGTCAATGCTGACCAAAATCCGAGAGGTGGCCCAACAGGAAGGCCTCAAAGTGAGACTTTGAGGGGCTTGGGGATATGAAGGGGTCCTTACCAGGCAGGATTTGAGACTGTGCCATGAGAACCTGCCTCATGGCATGTGGCTTTAGGCCACACTTGAAAAACTTCTTCCATATGTCAAAAGGTATGAGACTATGAAAGACAGAGCCTTCCAGCTCACAATTGCACTACAGCCCCTCATTCTTTTACTTCAGGAGTCAATATATATCACCCGTCCAAGGCTTTGCAGCTAGGATGGCCCTAAATGGCTTTGCAAGCCCTGCCTCTTAGTGAAGAGAACCTGAGGGCTTGGCTGGGGATTCTGCCTCCCCATCCATCTTGACACTTTCTGCAGTTCAGGGAGGGGTTCCTGGGCCCTGACCAGCTTGACCTTCTTTGCAGATGATCCCGCAGGGCCAGCACTGGCCCCCTCCCTACAAGGACACCCAGGGAGAGATACCCCCAGCCCAGGCACAGAGTACATCCCCAGGGTGAGTAAGGCTTTTCTTGAGGTCGGTCAGATAAGTGGTAGGGTCCCCTTGATCACAGGGAATTTTGGTGTCCCCGTCTTCCCTCAGGCCCATGGGCAGACGGCAGTTTCCTGGAAGCCGGGCGAGCAGTACAGTCAGAACCCATCCAGGCGGGCCCCGAGCATCCCCGTCTCGGCAGCCCTGCAGCTGGCCCAGCAAAGCCTCTTTGGAAGACAGAACCCATTCAGCCAACTACACCCAGAACCCCATCCGGGCCTTGGCCAGACTCAGGAGGAAACTCTCACCGAACCGAGGTCAGGCTGGCTCTACATATCAGCCCCAGGAGCGGCCCACATAACCTGAAGCAGGGGTAGGGCTGGAGGGCAGGTGGCTAGCAATCTCCCATGGAATAAAAGCCCCAGCCATCTGCCCACAGCGATCTTGGCCTCAGCGTGGCTGAGCTGGGGGAACAGACCTTCCCTCTTTGTTGGACAAAGGCTTCTATGATCCCACCGGGCAGGTCACTGGCCAATAGAGACCTGCCATTGAGTGGGAGCTTCCTGTCTCCACCCTGACAGGCGCTATGGGAGAGTACACAGAGAGCACCATAGAAGGGCTGAGGGGTAACCCTGGGTTTACTGACCAGCACTTAGGGTAGGGCTCTGGGTGTGAGGGCACATCTAAAACAAGGACCCAGAGGCCATGACCTTGTCTCTGGTCCAGCAAGGCAGGCAGAGAACAGCAGTACTTTGCCTTCCACCTTGGTTCTGCATCTGGTGCAGGCCCCAAGGGCACCAGGTGGCTCACCAAGGAGCTTGCTGCCATTAGGGACAACGGAGAGGTCCCTCTTCGGTCCTAGAGGTCAGAGCCTCACAAAGCCACCGAAGGAAAGCCCAGGCCTTTGGACACCTCGGCCAGCCATGGTTTGCTGAGCATTAGACTTTAGAGCTCACCCAGTTCAGGGTGCCATGGCACTAAGCAAGGATGTACCAGCCACACCACGCACACAGTGGTCATTTTTCTAAAGCAAGCCATTAGCCTGCCTCAAGTCACCTTGTTTGTGAAGGACAGGCTCTAAATTCTTACTGAGGATTTCTCAGGTCACACTCTCCTGGCCTTCTAGGTGGCATTATTTATTACATGATGAGGAGGCCATCAGGTTGAGTGCCTCAATTTACAGTAAGGGTCAAAGGAAGCCGCATGTGCAGTGAGCTGGCATTGGCAGGTCTCCCAACTCCGTCTCTTAACAGCCCAGGGTTTCTGGAGGAAACCGGATGCTCTGAGTCACTCTACCAGGGAGAGCCGGCTTTGGACACGGCTCCCTGAGAGAGGCCCTGTTCCCACTGAGCATCCCAGGCCTCCACTGACTCTTTCCCAAACAGGAGGATTGAGAGTTCAAGGCTAGCTTTTGCTGTATAGGGAGGACCTGACTCAGACAGACAGATAGACAGACAGACAGACAGACAGACAGAGGACAACAGGAAACAAGCAAAAAGTTCAGAAGTCCAGTTTGTTTGGCCAAGTCCTCTGCTCAGAGGTCAAAAATCAAGGTATCATTCAGAATGTCTCCTTTAGATGACTCTGGGGAAGAGTCCTCTTACAAACTCCTGGCTGTGGCAGAGCTTGATCCTTAGGCTCAGGCTTTGGGGCTGAGGTCCCCACTGCCACGCTACTCTAGCCTGTTTTCTTATTTGTACCGCCCATCTTCAAGAAGGCAGCAGAGCCAGGTGGTGGTGGCACACACCTTTAATCCCAGCACTCAGGAGGCAGAGGCAGATGGATCTCTGTGAATCTGAGGCCAGCCTGGTCTACATAGCAAGCAAGCTTCAGGATAGCAAGAGCTACATACAGACCCTGGAGAGAGAGAGACAGAGACAGAGAGAGAGGAGAGACAGAGACAGAGAAACAGGGAGAGACAGAGAGAAAGAGACAGAGAAAGGGGGAGGGAGGCAGAGAATGTATGTCTCCCACATGGATCCCCCTCCAGTCTCTGACTTGCCCCTGCTTCCCATGGGCTCCTGTGCTGACCCGATGCTTTTTCATTGTCTTGTCACTGTTTAGTGCTGGGAATTGAACAGGACCTTGTGCATTTCAGACAAGTGCGCTACCAGTGAGCCATGCCCCAGCCCTTGCCTTTCTCATCTGCAGGCCGTTTAATATAGCTTACTCATAGGGGTTAAGCTTCTCAGAGTCAATGTTGTAAAGATTATGCAAGGCATGCTCATGCAGCAGAGGAGTGCGAGGTTTTGAGGACCGTAAGAAGTCTCCCTGCTCCAAGCAAGAGGAGCCAAGGTGACTGCTATTTTGTTTGACTGTTTTGGGGAGGAGCCCAGGCTGACCTTAAACTCACTATGCATCCGAGGATGATTTTGAACTCCTGATCCTCTGGTTTCCCTTCTACAAAGGGATTACATGGACTGCCCAGTAGCCCAGTTTGGCCTTGAACTTTTTGTTTAATTTTTAATTAATTAACTTACAGTTTTTGGAGACAGGGTTTCTCTGTGTAGCCCTGGCTGTCCTGGAACTCACTTTGTAGACCAGACTGGCCTCGAACTCAGAGATCCACCTGCCTCTCTGCCTTCCCAGTACTGGGATGAGAAGGGTGTGCCACTAGGCCCAGCTGGCCTTGAACTCTTAATCCTCCTGCTTCTGCCTCCAGGTTTCTGGGATTATCGGCATATGCCACCACATACCCATCTCTTGCTTAACATCTTAAAACATCTGCACAGATTTTATGTCTTATGTTAAAATATATTCCATGTTTATTTTACTATTAAAACTTCCCTACCCAAATGTTTTTTTTAAATGATGCCCTTGGCAGATGCACCACATATATTCTGTGGCTTCAAGTATCCTGGGCAGTAACATTTAGCCCAACCAAGAAATACAGCACTAGATGGTTTCTAAGGCCTCAGATCCCAGGCAGACTGGAGTCGTCCGGCTGGACGGGCAGCAGGTAGTGGAGGAGGCTCATTTGAACATTATACCTTTGATTCGACCAAGCTATAGCCTGGGGTCATACCAGTGGGTCCCATAGCCACACATCTTTCCCTCAATCTCTCCCCCAGTAAATAGCATAAAATTCAATCACAGAAGCCCCAGAGTGCTGGAGACAGATGTAGTGGCCATGTTTTCTTTCCCTCAGGGTCCTGGGAGCTGCCTATAAGTGCAGACAGATGTCCCAAGGTTGCAGAGAAGGGTTCTAATGATTTCTCCTCGCCTGATGGGTCCTGGCTCTGTGTCTTCACAGAGCCCCTCCTACCCACCATGGGTATGGTGGGGTCTTGACTTTGCCCATAGGGCTAGTTGATCTGTCCAACCCACTATCCTGTAGTGTAGGCTGGGAAGGGTCCATCCCAAAGTGCAGAAACTCCTCCACTTGGGCAGTTAGTCATCTGAGTAATGGTTCCCTGTAGGGGAGAAGGAAGAACAGGGAGAGAGGGATCAGGTGGGGCTGGGGGCTAGCCCAGGACTCCCCTGCCCCTGATGCTCACCCAGGACATTGAACTTGCATAGTGGGCAGGTCTGCTGTAGCATCAGCCAGGGGTCCACGCAGTCTCGGTGGAACTCATGCTTACAGGGCAGTACCCGGAGCCACTACAGGGTGGGGGAGGGGCACAGGCTCTAGATCAGATCTAGACCTGTGCCCTTCGCCTGGGCTAAGCGCTGAGCACTCCTGGGCCTTCCCCATTATGGTAGCCATAATGAGGACTGGAAGAAGGTCCTGGTTGGAGTATTGAGGGTCTCAGGAGCAGGATCTGGGACGCCACAGGTCAGCTGGTGGCTGACCTTGCGCAGGCACTAACCTGCTTGTTACAGAAGTCATCTAGACAAACAGCGCAAGTCTCAGTGCCAGGCTCTGGAAGGCTGTGTGCTGTCCTGCTCAGCCGGCAGCGCCGGGTCTTGAGGGATGCTAGTCTCCGAACCACACGGCGCTTAAACAAATCCCCCTGTGGGAAAAGGATGGCCACAGTCTTGCAGGCCCAAGGGCTGTGGGCACCAGGGCTTCCACAATCAGGCTCCCACCTGGCCTCCAGGCTCCTGCTGGTTCTGTCTCGATGCCTGCCGCTGGGCCTGAACCACAAGGCCTGTGCACAAGAGCATGGCCACAAGCAAGATGGCGTTCCATAGCTGCTGCAGGGGCTTCTGGGGAGGGAAGAGGATGTCAGGGGCTCTGGGGCTGCTCCACATGCTTCCCCCAGGCGTCGCCACCCCCAGGAACACTGGTAACAAAGCAGGTGATATGCACTGAGGGCCTCTGTCTCTGCAGGCTCCATCCCACCTACTCACGTGCTTCTCAGGGTCTGCCCCAGCTGCACGGAGAGCCACATCGTCCTTAGTACTTTGCTACTCTGTTCCCAGCGTAGATTTCCTCCTGGTATGTTCTCAGTCTCTACCATCCCCCTCTCCTCGCCTTCATCTAAGCTGATGTTCACCCCTGAAACTGCAGAAGCTGGTACGCCTCTATCCTGCGATCATTTCTCTCTCCAACCACCAGCACACAGGCCCCAGCCCCAGATCCAGTGACTTGTGCGGCAATCTGACAATACCATGCCCTCCTTCACTGTCTTCTCCCTTGTCATGTCCACGCCCTGCCTCATTCCCCCTCTTGAAAACTGTTTTTCCTTGCCCTTACCCTTTCAACACCTTTGGCCTACTGTTCCAGGAGCACACCCCGCCCCGCAGGGTGAGTATTCCCCCTGCCCAGCCCTCCTAGTACCCACTGACCATGGGTTTCCTTGCTGCTACCTGGGTAGTCGTCAAGGCCCTTTCATTGCTTGAGAACTAAGTCTGACATGGCCACATTGTAGCCTCCATCTTTGTGGAATGAAACTGAGGAGGCAGAGTAAGCATGCCACATGGGCTCTCCCACACAGGTGCACTCTTTCCCACAGAACTTAGATGTGCTGTAACTAATAAACACCTTCACTTAAAAACTCTCAGCTTTCTCAGTAGCTCTCTGTCTTTGTCACAGCATACAGGGTGGGACATCCTAACGGTCTTATGAAAGTCTGGTACTTCCCTGGGACTGCTCTTTCTAACATGGGTTCAACTCCCATCACAGCAGGGGAGGGGTACTAAAGCAATCAGACAGAAAGCCACCATCCTAGACCAGGTTGGGGTTGTGAAAGTAGCCCTTGCTTGGGGTCAAAGCACTGGAGTCATTCCTTAGAGGCGTCTATAATCCTCTCCCTCTCCCCTCTAATCACAGCGGGGGGGGGGGGGGGGGGGTGGCACCTGTTCCAGGAAACTCTGGAGCACTAGGTTGGACTCAGGTGCTTTTGCTATGACCTGGAAGGGTTTGTGGTTCACCCCTACAGAATGACAGTATCTATCTGCTCCCCAGCCAGAGCCCAGGCTGGGGCAACTGGGCTGTATCCTGTGCTACACTGGGGCAGGCCGGTCAGCAGGGCATGCTGAATGGCCACCAAGGCAGAGTCACAATGAAGCTGGGCTCTGAAGCACCCGGCTGGAAGCCCAGGCAGGGAGAGGACAGGCAGGGCCCCTCCAATAAGTCAGCCAAGGTGCTGTTCAGCACAGCTTCCTGATTCCCAGCTCAGGGTGGGAGCTGGACCTGGGGCAGGGCTTGGAGTCCACTGTTCATCAGGGCAGCTATCATTCGGACATCTCATCTGCCATGGCCACCCACAACCTGGCTGGCAGTACCTTCACAGCTGTTCCCTGCCAGCCTGTCCTAAACACTGTACAGTCTCACCTCCCGGCCATAAGGCCCTTTCCCAGCCTGCTCCTCTCCCATATGTTACCTTTCCCCCTGCCCCTCACCAGATGCATCCTTCACCCAGAGGTCTGTGCAGTCCACCCCAGTGGCAGAGAGTGTGCATGTAAGGGAAATGAAAACACTTGGCCTCGGGTTGTTCAGCTACGGTTTAGGAGCCAGAGTTTTAACTTACCTGACTTCAAATTGCTCAGTGCCGTCCTTGTCATGAACTACTGGAGGCTGCACACTAGGAGACAGAGTATGTCTTCCTCCCCCCAACTTATACAGACTGGGGTTCAAGAAATGCTGTGGATTGAACCCTTGGAAGCTAAACACTAGGACACGTGGACACAAAGTCACTCTCTCCAACATCCCGGGTTGGATCTCCTAAGAATGCCGAGAAAGTCTGGCAAAGCGCAGCTCTGACTGAGCAGATGGAGTAAGACTGTGAGCAGAGGACTGGAGGGGACAGTCCAAAGCAGGAAGGTGGGGTGAGCTGAGAAAGTTCCACCATCCAAGGACTCGTGAAGTCGGAGAAAAGGGGAGTGAACACCAGGGGCCGATAGGGCAAGGTCCAGAGGCAGGAGGAGGTCAGGGGCGTAAGGGAGCCAGTGAGTAAGGCAAGGGAGCCGGAACTTCGAAATAAGACTAGAAATAAAGGAGCAGTCGGGGTAAAGCTCTGCAGTAGAACACTTCTCAGCATGGACATGCCCTGGGTTCTTCCCCAGTGGAAAATAAATGGAACACATACAGAGCTGTGAAGACTCCTGTGCAGAGGAGAACAAGACATCAGCCGCTACCACTGCCCACGACCCTAGGCCAAGTGTCCCCTCAGTGTCCACTGTACCATGTCACTAAGTAATCAGCTCTAAGATATGCAGGGTTGTCCTTCTAAGGCATGCATTTGGCCCCACCCAAGCCTCCAGCCCTAGGATCCACCGGCACCTACCTGCTCCTGGGCCTGACCACCTCCCAGGCACACCAAATCCTGCCAGCCTCCGTAGCTGTCCTTGGAGAGGCCACAGGTGGTCCACAATGTCAATTTCCACTCGATGTTGGCGGACAGGGACTCTCGACTGGTGATCTCAGCCGTAGCCTGGGTCCTCCTGAGAGGAAGAATCATGGGAAGAGGGGGTGAGAGGGCAGAGAGAAGGACCCTTGGGAAGGGAGGCCCAGATTCATCTACCTGGTTCTGCAGTGGATACCCCAGGATACTGTCGTCGCAGGCCTTGTGGTTCGGCTCCCAGGCCTTTCCTGGCTCTCACCCAGCCAGACCAAGGAACAGCCTGTCAACCGGGCATCCCGCTTCCTCATGCTGGGCTGGTCCCTCTGTCCACAGGGCAACTCCTTTCCCAGGTCCTGCCTCTTCCTTCCCACCTCCTCCCCCCGTTTTCAACCTTGGACAGTAGTTTAAGGGCTAAGGGGTCAGGGAAAGGCCTTCTCCAGAGACACCCTCCTCCCCTAGCGCCCACTGGACTCAGAGACCCACAGAGCCTGGCAGCAGACCACCCAAAGCAAACCCAACTCACTGCAGAAGTGCCTCCAACAGCTTGGTGACATTGGAAGAATAATGGAGGACAATCACTGGCCTGAGCAGAAGCTGGGATATGTCCAGCTGCGGGAGACAGGGAGGTCAGCAGGCTTTGGCCCCCTGTCCCCTCACCTGCTCACCCTCACAGCCCATTCCAGGTTACCTCTCGGACCACACTATGGTTTAGGATGAGGAGAAGCAGGGCAGAGGCCCCCAGGAAGAGGGCACGGCGCATCTGCAAGGAAAAAAGGAAGGGGAGAAGCTGCCACACCTGCCTTCCCCGTGGCCCCCCGCGCTCAGGAGCCTGACCGCTGGATAGACTAGCTCTAAGCTCCCTCAAGCCAAGCCAAAACTAAAGCTGAAGAGATGTGACAGCCAAAGATAACACACGATGGTTGCGGACTGAGGCAATTTTAATTATGAGACACAGATTACAGTATTTTAGAGATGTTAACTTTCCTAATTTCGGCCACCAGAGTTACATAAGGAATATCCGTGACTTTAGGAAATTTGCACATTATCATGTATGTGTGAAACTTCCAT